CAACCCCCCCCCAGGAGAGGGGGTCCTGGTATGTGGCATCACCCCCACCAGGGACAGACACGTGAGCACACACACACACAGCTGGCTTTTTGCTGCCCACCTGCCTGCACGCCCCTCACCTGACTGCCTGCGGTGCTGTGGGCCCGGTGCTGCCTCTCTCGGTGAATCGGTAAGCAAGCTGGGGGCTTAGAAGGCAGCGCCCAGGGTCTGGAGAGGATTCGCCTGCTCCCTGGCTTGGTGGTTGGGTTCAGGAACATGCCTCCCCTGCAAACCCTTCTTCCCTGGGGCAGCGCACTTTCACCTTTACCTCTCAGGCACAGGCCCTGGCCTTTCCGGAATGAGACTGATGTGGGAATAGGATAGTGAGGTGCAAGAGGGTGCCGGGCACCGTGTGGTCAGAGCCCAGGACCCTCCTGTCCTCCAGAAGCGCCAACTCTGCCACTTCGTCATCAGCACATCCCAAGTTCACTGACTGTCCAGACGCCCTAGGTGTGGGCAGACCACCTGTTAGCCTAACTGAGACACAGCTATGCAGCTGGTGCGTTATGCTTCACCATGCAGGTGCTGCCACAGAAGGAAGCCTAAAAGGAAGACTAGGGAGCAGGTCTGAAGAGGAGGTGACCGTAGCTGGGGTGTGGGGGCTTCCCAGGTGCAGAGGGGCACCCTTGGCCATGGGAAAGCACGTGGAAAGCATGGTCCTTGTAGAGACCTGGCTTGTGGGGCATCGCCAAGAGGTGCTGTCCAGAGCTCAGGATTGGAAAACGGGGACCCAGGGAGGAGTGGGTGCTGGCTGTGGAAGGCACACCGCCCTGTGTCTCCCCCCATTGCACCTCAAGTGTTCCTCATCTCTCACAACATGATCACAGTCCTGTCTGCTTGGCAAGGAAAACTTAAGAACCCAATGCATGAAATACAATCACAGAGCTTGCTTGTTTTCACAGTATTTATTACTCTCCATTGTTGCAAATGTTTTTCAACAGTTTTTACTGTTTTATTGTAAGAATTCTCGGCTGTGTACAAAATGTGTTGCTTTTAAACATTTGTTCACAACAACAGCATGGCTGAAGTGATGGGGAAGGAGGAAAGCTGTGAGAGGGCCTGCGATGCAGAGCTTGGGACATGGGTTAGGGCTGGCTGTAAAACGTGGCTCGTCCAGATGGGACGGGTAAAATGCCCATCAGGTTTTGAAGACTTCGTGCAAAATAAAGAATAGAAAACATCTCATCAAATAGGGGCCGGCCGAGTGGCTCAGTTGGTTAAGAGCTCGCTCAAGAGTTTGAGCTCTGAGCAACAGTGGTTTGAGTCCCGGCCCGAGCTGAGCAGCCGCTGAGCAGCCGCTGAGCTGCCAACAGGTAGCAGGATGGCTCAGCTTAAAAAAATAAATAAATAAATAAATAAATAAATAAATAAATAAAAAGTTCCGTTTAGAAGTAGACCCGTCTCCTAAGAGTGAGTACTAGAAATTTAGAGTCACAAGTCCTTGAAAAAACAAGGGCAAACAGCGCACTCCCACTGCAGTCCCAAACCAACCTCCACCTTTCCCACCACACTGGCTTCTGACGCCCTTTCTCATGAATTCTCCCAGTAACTTGGGATTTTTCAAGTCATCACTGACTTACTATCTTTGTTGCTCCAGACATCGCTCAGCCTGCACACCATTCTGAATTTCATTTCCCAGGGCCGTTTCCTTGGTGCTGCATCTCTGGGCCACCCACCCCAACTAACTCCCTTCTCCCAGCTGACTTCCCCGGTTCCAGCCTACACCCCACCAGCCCAGCTCCCACCACACTCACTGCTGTCACCACAGTCACTCTTCTATTTGGTCCCAACTAGGAATCAAGGATGCTAGGTGCTCAACACACATTATCTCACTTAAGTCTCCAAAAAGAAAGAAAACACTTCTTACAACAGAAGAATGTGATGCTCAGAGTTCATGTTGTTTGGTTAGGGTCTCATGCCTTCAGAGGGGCAGGGCCAAAACTCAAACTAGGCTTCTGTGACTGTAAACCTTGTTCTCTTTCTACAGTGTCAGGGGACCTCTGTTCAAAACCCTTCGCTCCCTTATTCAACCCTAATTGCTCTAAAGAGAGCAACCCCACTGCCAACTCTAGCCCTTGGAGCCCCTACAGTATGCTCCCACATTACTTTTCTGGCCTCATCTTTTATTAGATGTACTGCAGTCCACATCCCACATGCTCCAAATCCAGCCACATTTCGTTCCACGAAGCCTTTCTCTGTCCTCTTCACAAGGATGTTGTGTTTCTCTTTAAAATTCCCTTGGCTCAGTGACTGATTAGTGTCGGTGACAGTAGCCCAATGTCCCCAGAAAGGAAACCTGAATACTGAGACGGTCAATCCAAAATATCATACTCATCCTTAAAAGATCTTTCTTTTTTGGTAAAGGTGCTCTATAATTGCCAGTTCTAATATTGTGAGGTCCAGCCCTTCCACACAGAGAAAACTAGTAAAAAATACCGCATGTTTTCACTTAATGATGCTACTGGGACCTTTTAATTTTAGTAGTACTACTGCTTTGCAGGCAAAAGATGGAAGCAGAACACTTTTCAAAAAATGATTATATTTTTCATTTTCTTTTCTTCCTCAAGCTTTATCAACACGTTGCTTAAAAACATTATGTATATTTCTATTTTTGATATCCTCTTTGGAGCACAGATTTCCAGCTAAATCGTACATAGTTCACTCAGTGTCCTAATTTACAGAATACCACTGTGTGTTCACATTGGCAATACTCTGAAATACTCCCCTTCTTTCTTAATGCAACACTTAATCTCAGTTCTTTCTAGCATGAACTGCTGCTACCTTTGGATTAATAGATCAGTAGACACTTTCTAATGACTTCTTATTCTGGGAAAGATAAAAATTATTTTCCCTTGGGGGCAGTGCTCTCCACAGTCATTTATTTTATCATTTAAAATTTTTTTGTTAGCTGTGTCTTTTAAACCATGTCATCACTGTTTTTTTTTTTTTAAGTTTCTTCAGATGGTGGTCCTGAGTCCTCTGGTTTAGTGGATGACAACGGCAGTGAGGAGGACTACAGCTATGAAGACCTGTGTCAGGCCAACCCCAGATACCTACAGCCAGGCGGGGAACAGCTGGCCATCAATGAGGTACTGGTATGCCACTCAGCGGTGGCGAATGGTGGACACCCGATTTCCAGGGCCCAGAATCCCTTCAGACTTTGCTCTCTAGTTATTTCTTACTGAAACATATTCTAAAACCTAGAACTTGGACTAGAAAAAAAACACTGAGTTTCTGGCATTTTCAAGGACAATTTATGTGATTAAGTTCATTCCTTTTAGTAATAAGAGCAGCAGTCATTAGCGTTTGAATAACATTTTCAGTTTCCAATAATGCTCTCCCTTATATTATCATCTCATGTAAATCTCACAGTTGATCTAAGAGGTAAATGTTACAATTGTTATCCATATTTTAATAAACACTGAAACTAAGCGGCTAAATTACTTGCTAGCAAATGGCAGAGCCAGCGTTATCCCCATTTCTCACGACGAAGCTGGAGTTCTTTCCGCCACTCTGTTTCTTCAGCCCTTTTTACAGAAATCTTTCTAGAAGGCACCGCTAGCTTTTGGAGTTCTTAAACAGAGCATCACTTCTCAGCAAGTTAGCATCCCCGTTTATCGCACCGTTGTTGCTTGAGAATTCGATGGTATCCCCAGGAGTTGAGCTGAGGTGTGCTGTCACCTGCCCCTACAGTGGCTCACAAATGAGCTGTGTCTGTTCTTTACTTTTATTAACTGTTGACTATCCAGAGATCACTCTGTATTCTCCTTTACTGAAGTTATATAGACACAAAGTTTGTTAAAATCGTGAATGAAGTATGACTAGTAGGTTCTGGGTGAGGCCGTGAGGGTCTGGCAGTTAAGTATGTGTACACACTTTGGAGGCATGGCTCTGTGACATCTTGCTGGGCTGCTCAGAAACCATTTGGGGGTGAATAGTTCCATCTATTCAAATTTGTTAAATAACTGCTATACAGATAAGAAGCTATTTATACACTTTTTTAAGAAGTGGAATTTGAGATTTCCTTTAAGAGCATGTGAGAGAGGTTCACTTGCTCTTTTCCCTAACGCACTTCTCTGTTCATTTTGTGTAACAATCAAACAGTATTGACTCAGAGCCGTTGGTGTATATATACAAATGAGACTCGAAGATGTGCCTGTCACCCTGAGAGAGCCCACAACATCCCCCTCTGTCATGTCCGGGTGGCTTTTGCACTAAGTACATGTGTCTCCATTTCAGCTGATCAGCGATGGCAGCGTGGTCTGTGCAGAAGCCCTGTGGGACCACGTGACCATGGATGACCAGGAACTGGGCTTCAAGGCAGGAGATGTCATCCAGGTTCTGGAAGCCTCTAACAAGGACTGGTGGTGGGGCCGGAACGAGGATAAGGAAGCTTGGTTTCCCGCAAGTTTTGTCAGAGTAAGTGTGTGGCGCTTTCCGATTTCCGCTGCTGTATCTGCGGGAGCATGGGAATTGTTTCAGGCCAAACTCGCTCTTTGTACAGTCAGTTCTTTGTAATCATTTTAAGCAAAACGATTTGACTGGGTTGAAGGAAAACTTCCAACTGAGCCAAACTGGTTGTTTGGCACTGCTGCTGGGTTTTGAGCCTCTGGCACTGCGTAGCTCTGGTTGGGGACAAGTGGAAGCCAGGGAGGCCTGCCTGGCCCCGGGGCTGCCTTCCCCCAGTCACCTGTCCCCTCTGTTGGGCCACAGTTGCGAGTCAATCAGGAAGAGCTGTCGGAGAATTCCAGCAGCACCCAGGGTGAGGAGCAGGAAGAGGACGCTGGCAGGAACCGCCACAAACACTGCGAGAGCAAGCGGCAGATGAGGACCAATGTCGTCCAGGAGATCATGGACACCGAGCGGGTGTACATTAAGCACCTCAAGGACATCTGTGAGGTGAGGCAGCAGGCGGCGGCCTCGCTAAGGCTGTCCCCTGCCTGCGCAGTACACCCTGTGGTTTTCTTCTGTGCCTAGTCAGACCTCCTAGCTACATGTTTTCCCAGAGCCCTCACTTCTCACCACCTCCTGCACACTGGCCCCTGCGCAGACTGCTCATTCATTAAACACTTGTTTGCCGTGATCAGCATAAGTGGCTACCTGACCTGCTGTTGCACGCAGTCCTCTTTTCGGGGCGCCATGCCACTGTCTCTTTCAGGACTTAGCTCTAAGATTATTCAGAGTGAATAACTGTCAGAGAAGGCCACACCCTTTAAGTGAAACCCACTTGACTTTACAAAGAATCAAAGGTTTGTTGGGGTCTATAATCCCACTGCCTCTAGTCACTGAGTCACAGATGAGATGCTGAGTTATTTAGACGCAGTCAAAAAAAGAAAACTGGCTTTATCTAGTGATATCCAAGGCTGTATTCTACAGGGTCTTGGTAATTCTACTCTGCAATACATTTTATTTCTCCCGTGATACTTTTCGTTGTTGTGGGTTTCGTGGAGGCACTACCCTAAACTGTCGTTTGCCATGTGTGACCATTCCATCCAGCTGTCTTGGCTGTGAGTGCCGCATCTCTGCTCTCAATTCAGGTGTGAGATGCAGCACTGAAGACAAGCTAAAGTGATATAGCTGCCCATTTAGTAATGGATTAACTGGCCAGATACAGATACAGCGTATTTGTACCAACCATCTTGTTCTATATAAATAAATGGTTAAGGGAGCGTCTTTAAAGTGACATTTTAGGAAAATGAAAGTAATGCTAATGATTGTTGAGCATTGATTATGTGCCACCCCTTTACCTGGATTAACTCATTTTATTCTCATAACACTCTCCTTAGGCAGGTCCTCTTAGCCCCGTATTACAGGTGAGGAAACAGGGGCGCAGAGAAATTAAGTGGTGGGGTTGGGATTTATACCAGGCAGTCTGCCCCGGAGCCTATACTCTGAACCTTTGCATTATCTTTCTGTTAAAATCCATACCAAATAGTCACTGGTATGGATTTTGTCATATAGTCAGGTTAGTCTATAATTATATGATGCCAATTTGGAGATAATTATTTCATATATGGATGGCCTTTCCTTCCTACTCCACTACCTCCCACCTAAGCCATAGTACAAGCAGTATGCATAACGGATGGTCTCTAACTAGTGCAGGCCTCAGGTTAAGGGTGTGCAGATTTATGCTGTATGTAGAAAATAGGTGATGGTGGAATCCCTGGGGGGGATGTGCTTGGCTCTTGGCCGTGACAGTGAGCAGAGCTGCATGAGCTGTTCAGCACGCTATGGCATTCTGTGTTTGACAAGTCTTCTCAGCTGGGAAACGGAATTAGGGATGGGAAAATGGTTATCTGAATAGTTTGAAAAAAAAGTGTCACAATACCAATTTTTGAGCTCTAGCATTTGAAACCAAGTGACTTGTTTCATGAGTATAATCTGGAAACTTGATATGATTTCTTGAATGATAAATCCAGCCACTCATATCTTTTCTCTTTCCTTTTGTTTTTAAAATATTTATGGCACATTGTAGTCACGGAAGCATGACTGTCCCATTAGAGACTCACAGGGGTTAAAATAATTTTCTCTAATTAAAATCCATTCCAAGACAATGGCTTTGGGCCCAATATACTGTGTTATTCAAATAATTTCTGTGAGTTTCCAAGTCAATTTTTAAAGCTTGCTTTTCTTTTTTGCAGGGCTATATTCGACAGTGTCGCAAGCACACAGGGATGTTCACTGTTGCACAACTAGCCACCATTTTTGGAAATATTGAAGATATTTACAAATTCCAAAGAAAGTTCCTGAAAGACCTGGAGAAACAGTACAACAAAGAGGAGCCTCACTTAAGTGAAATAGGATCGTGCTTTCTTCAACATGTATGTCACCTGTTACTTCTTTTTGAATAACATCCAGTTAAATAATTTTGAAATCTTTCTCTACTAAAAATAGGAGTACTTTTTGTTTCTTTTTTGTTTGCTAGATTAATTTCCCATAGAATGGAGATGTCACTTGTAAATTAAGTTGATTGGTTTATATGGTTAATCTTTAGCTAAGTCCATTTTTTCAAAATCTTCCCACCTTTAAGCAGTTTGGAGTAATTTCTGATAATACCTATTAAGTTTCCACATGTCAACCATTGTTTTTAGAGTCTTCTTATATTGGGTCGTCGGGAAAGTCATGACGCATTTTTGCATTGGAAAACATAGAAAAATACGTTATGACTTTCCTGACGACCCAATATTAGCTCCTACAGTATGATTACTGACCTAAGGTCACACATGAGTCAGTGGCAGATGGGAATTCAGACTGGTGCGTGTGGCCAGTGTCATTGCCTCAGAACAGTCTTGTGATGATGGCATGAACTTATCATTTAACTGATGATTGACCATCACTATTTAATACTAAAAGATTTCAGAAGAGGAAGCATTTATTCCCAGCTAAAATGTCCAGGGCATCATAATAATAGTAATAATAAGAACAGCGACGACCACTGCCACCCTCTGGGGCAGCACTGGCTGGGTGCTGGGCCCAGTAGCTCAGAGAGGTAGTAGAGTGGAGCAGACCTCCAGGGTGGTTGCTTTTAAATAGCTGAAAATGATGCTCGGGGGGTAATGCTCGTGGGGAGATGGGCCGGCCCCATGAATGCGCCGGACTTATTGAGACTTTGTAAAAGACCTGTTTGACCAGAGCAGAAGGTTCACGGAGTTTAAGAGAGAAGCTCCAGAGGTCAGCAAAGGTCACGCTGCCGAGGGAGCAGGGCCTGGTGGGGACAAAGCCTCAGGAAGATGGATCATGCCTGGAGAATGGGGACTTTAACTTAGGAACAGAGGAGTTGCTGCTTCTGGGAGGGAGGTGAGGTGGGCCTGGGCAAGGGTGATGTCAGTGGAGACACGGAAAGACGGATTTGTGGAAATGGGTAATTTGAGAACAAATTAACAAGACTGGACATAGGGAGCAAAGAAAAGCAGCAGTCAGAACCACTTGCAGGGTTTTGAGTCTGAAAGAATTAACAGGTAGGTTAGGAAAACCTGCTTTCTAGGAAAATGGGAGTTGGCTTGTGGATGTATTGAGTTTCAACATGTCCATTCAGAGTAGAGGTAGCCAGAAGGGAACGCAGCTCTGGGCAGGTGGATGCTCGTGCCGGTGTGGTCTGGCAGTGGTGGCTGCAGGGAGAAGCCGCGGGTGGGGGTTGGGGGGGGCAGGGAATGAAAACCTGACATAGCAAGCCTGCCTCTGGGCGTGGGGAGGAAGGGCGGGGGGGCCCACTGCATGTGGAGTGTGGAGTCCAGGCGAAAGGAAGGTGTTGCAGACAGAGCTGGCAAGGTTGCAGTCCCCTGGAAGTGAGACCCACGGAGAAAGGAAGTGAGTGAAGGGCTTGCCTTTGGAGGTTGGAAGGTGGTGCACGTGTGGAAGCCAGGTGGTGAGACATTAAGGAGACTTGCAGCGACGTGGCGGTGGCCTTGGATCCTCACCTCTTGGTCATGGTCAAGGAGTTTATCAGGGGATGTAAAGAAGGCAAGGAGGGACGGAGTTGGGCATAAGAATAGGCCCTTCTTCTGTTAGATCTGAGGGGTGAGGAGTCGGGGAAGGATGGTGACAGCAGAGGGCATGGCTTCCATGGGAAGTCCTGTGCACCTGTGATTGACATGCCCTTTTGGGGTCTGGAACGCTGCCCGGAAAGGGACCGGGGCTCTGAGTCCTAAAGCAGCCCATCCCTCCACCCGCCATGAAGTAACTCCCCCCTAGAGAGTCCCTTCCCTCAGAGAATACCTGGGCCTCTTGCCCAGGCATGAAAAACATCACAGACGGACCTGGGGCACCATGGAGCATTTCCGTCCTGCCCAGGAATGCCCCCTTACCTAGGGCTGGGCTGTTACCCATCCTTGTCTTGACCCAAAGCCACCCATAGCCTGATGAAGCTGTGCTTTACCCTTGCCAGCAAGAGGGCTTCGCCATCTACTCCGAGTACTGCAACAACCACCCGGGCGCCTGCGCAGAGCTGTCCCGCCTGATGAAGCAGGGCAGGTACCGGCACTTCTTCGAGGCGTGCCGCCTGCTCCAGCAGATGATTGACATCTCCCTGGATGGCTTCCTCCTCACGCCCGTGCAGAAGATCTGCAAGTACCCCCTGCAGCTGGCCGAGCTGCTCAAGTACACCACGCAAGAGCACAGGTGGGAGGCCCCGCCCCGCGCCTAGGATGGCAGTGACAGCGGCGGCCTCGACACTTTTTTTAGTTCAGCGGAAGAGGTTTTCCTATTGTTTGGAGTGTTTAAGATTGTTAACTACTGAAATAGGGTTAGTGAAGAGGCTCCAGAATATCCATTCCTAGAGAGATTTTAAAAAAATAAGAATGACTCTTAAACTGTGCCAAGAGCACCTGGGGGACTTTTACAGTTTGGTTGGTCCTCATTATTGACATATATTTTATAAATACTCTTTTGTAGCTACTCAGTAGTTAACAAAAACAATTTTTAAAAGAAATAGACCAGCATAAATAGCATCAGAAATATTTTATTTACTCCCCTGTACTTAAGTTGCTCCACATCATCTCACCCTCAGAGCAATATTATTTACTGCTGACAAAAAGTTCCTCTATAGAAAGGGTGAGGCCATAGAAAAGTTTGAGCTGTAAAAGAGTAGGGACTCTTAAAGGCATGGAATAGCGTGTGAGGACCCATGGGAGACACATCTCACTGAGAGCCCTATCAGCTCTCAGCCCCTTCTCACCCAGCCTGGGTGCCTGCTTTGTCTCAGGAATCCTTTCCACTCCATTCTCTCCTGCTTCTCATTGTGATTGCCTGAACGCTCCATCTCCGTTTGGGGCTCACTTTGTGCCTAGGTTCTTCCTGGGGAGCTAAAATGTTATCCATTCCATACTTAATAGCAACTTGTCAATTTCCTGCATGCACAGAATACGGCTTTTACATGTAAGCTAGCGCCCATTCAGTATTGGCATGGGCATGTCCATTTTCCATGATGTCACCACAGCAAGACCCAGCTGTTTGATGCTTTTAGGTGGTGGCAATTAATTCATTGCTTATGTTCTCACCAGGCAATAACTGGAATGCCAGTGGGGACATTACTGTTTTCAGGCAAGGTTTTAAGATAAAGCTTACTGTTTTAGATGAGAATCAAACTTCGTCTGGGACTTTCGTGTCACTGGCACAAAGCTTTCACTACATGAGTAACTGTTACCTCGAAAACAATCAAATTCTCCATGGCAGTGCCTGGCCGTGCAGGGTGCCCAGAATGGGTCATTCTTTTGCCACTTCTGCTGATGTACTCTTGTGGAGAAAGAGGGCTTGAAAAGGAATCTTTTTACAATTAAATTGGAAGGTACAAAGAGAAAAAGAGCCAGATAGCTGAACCAGAAACCTTGATATGGGTGTTAGTGTAAAGAATTAGGATTACAAATCTAAGAGAAGGGAGTTAATCGAAATCGATAAATGAAAGAGCTATACCGGGAGTGCCAAAAAAATGTATATACAGGACTTGTATCCATATTTTGTTATTGGTATATATTGATACAGTTTTTTCCTTTCTTAAAATGTGTGTACATTTTTTTTGGCACCCTCTGTATATTTTTTCTTTTTCTAATGGAAAAATCGGAAAAGTTTGGAAAGAAAATAACAAAGTCAAGAGAGTCACAAATTTGAAGAAATTTTTTAAAAAGTATGAAAAGGCATCATGATGAAGAACCAGAGACAATAAATAATAAAATTAAGAAGCAGAGACATCTTGAAACACATGGGCAAGTACAATAGATTAGTATATTCCAAGATGGGAAAGCTATGGCCAGAAGTTCACACATCATCCTCCAACCGTTAATTTTTCACTTTTAAGGGCATTTTTCACTATGAGGCATTTGCAGATTTGGGCTATTTAAAAAATAATAATAATAAATCACTTTAAAGGAAATGACAAAAGGCCTATTTGCTTGTTCAAGTAAAACAAAACAAATTTAAAAACCATTACATTCTGCTTCTTTTCTGGAATTGCACAGAAAAAAGTGCAGAAAAAATAATACAATTATTTTGCACACTTTCTTCATGATTTCGGCAGCCCCCTTGTATCAGTTCTGTTCTTCCTTTGTGCTCTGCTTCTGAGTGTGAATAGGCCTGTGAAAGCCAGCAGGGTCTGCCTTGTGGGAAAATGGCCAGAGACTTCCCAGCAGCTGAGCCTGATTGTGTTTGGTAAATAGACAATAGAATCTACTTCCCAGGCTTTTTTCCTGGCCGTACATGGCTCAGTCTGACTGAGATCCAAAGGCTCTGTCTCAGGAGAGTGCTGGAAGGTAAAAAAAATTTCAGCTCATTAGCTGGATGATTGGTTTACATGTCCCCAAATTATTAACGCTGAGCAAAACTTGAATGTATAAGTTCCTGATACCGGACATGTTGGAGCCTGTGTGTAGGTTAGAACTGCAATTTCAGTTTTCCCAGTAACTATAGTTTTAGAGGCCAGAGGCCATGGGAACAGGAGCCTGCTGGGGGCAGCATTTTAGTTGGATTTGACTAGCATGTAGAAAACACCAGAAATGAAGATCTGTTGATGAGGTAAATGCCACATTATCATTTACATAACTCACTCCATCAGCCTTCTGTGACGCCTGTCCTCTGATGTCCTTCCCTGAACAAAGTGAAAGATGGGACTCAGAGCAAATATAGTAAAACCTTGGATTGCGAGTAACTTGGTTTATGAGTATTCCTCAAGATGAGCAAACATTTCTATACATTTTAACTTGGTAAACGAGTGATGTCTTGCAATACGAGTAGTTTGTTTCTGGAACGAATTATGCTTGCGAACCAAGGTTTTACTGTAATTACTTTTGAAAATGGTTAGTGATTATCAAAGTACTTTCTATAACAAAACTAGCTCTATCAGAAGAATCAAGGCAATAATAAAGACTGTCCTTTGCTTATTAATGAAAATTATTCATTGTCACTATGACTAAAACATTTCTTGTGGCATTTGCTTTCATTCATGGTCATTTCTGGGAAGTGAATGACAACATTCTGATTCCAAAGAATTCTGGATTGCTGTGTGGTCCGCTCCCTAACCTATGCAGACTGTAGTCTATTCATGGAGGAACAACCAAAAGGAAACAATGACTACTGTTTAAATGCCACTTTGTCTAGACTATTAGTATACAAATCGGGGATGGAGTGTATGTTGTCAGTCCTCATTTGCGAGTTGCATGTCATATTAAAATTAAGCTCCTACTTTGCAGTGATTACAACAATATAAAGGCAGCATACGAGGCCATGAAGAACGTGGCCTGTTTGATCAATGAGCGCAAACGCAAGCTGGAAAGCATAGACAAGATAGCACAGTGGCAAGTGTCCATCGTCGGCTGGGAGGTAAGTGGGTGCCACCCACCACCACCACATTGCCCAACACCGATCACACCCTCTTCCACCTTTAGTCTAGTTTAATGACATACTTTAATGTTTTATGATTCATACTTTATACTCATGGCTTCAGTGGTACATGGATTTCCCCCGCTATACCAAAGTAGAACGTTTCTATGAAATTTTTGTAAGCAGAAATGGTGCAAAGCAAAGAATGACCTTAGGGCACATCTTGCTAACAGATGCACAGAATAAATGGAGATAAAGCACACGTGCTCACACAGCTCAAAGCTCTGGTGCCCTGATGCTGAGATGCTGAGTGTGGTTCCCAGGAAGGAGTTTAATGGGGTCACTCTCAGTGCTCAGGGTGCATGCTGCCTCTGTAATGGTTCACTTCCAAAAAAACACTGACCGCTATTTTTGCTTTCCATCTTTTTTGGTAAAAATGAAAATTCTCTTTGGATTTCTTTCAGTTAGCAAAAACAGGTACCTAAGGTAGGCCTTCCATAAAAGTGAAGTGGCGTAAAGCGAACTTTAGAAAAGCAGGAATTACCTGTATATATCTTGAGGTCACTCCTTGAATTTAACGGTCAACTACTTTACCCCACACCTCTACCAAGAAATACCCTGAAGAGTGTCTGTAATTAATTAGTTGCTTATGCCTTCTCTCCTGCTAGCGAACTAGCTTCAGGGTAGCAGCTAGAGAACACATAAAGTTCAAATTATAGTGTGGTAAGAGTGTGGACTGTGGAGTCACTGCCTGCATGTAAACCCTGTGTGATCTGGGAAAGATCAGTATTTTCATCTATAAGATGGAGAGGAAAACAAGACCTACTACCTCGCAGGGCTAGTGTAAGGATTATGTAAGACAGCACCAACGCAGTGCGTGATACAGTCTGTAATAATGGTACAGCGCGTGTGCATGCGCGCGCGCGCGCACGCACACACACACACACACACACACACACATTTATTTATAAAAACAAGAACAATGACCATAGCTAGTGCCTGTGTTGTGTTTGCCACATGCCTGGCACTGGTTTAAGCCATTTATATGTATGAATTCATTTAATCCTCTCAACAGGCCTATGAAGTAGGAATTATTACCCCATTTAACAGATGGGGTAACTGAAGCAGTGAATGTTAAGTAGCTTGCCCAAGGTCACAGAGCTGGGAGGTAGCTGGACTCGATTCCCACCTGGGCAGGCAGCCTGTCGTCCGCCCACCCCCACCCCCACCCCCAATCAGCTGATGCTGATGCTGTGCAGGTTGTTTTAAAACAAAGCAAGACTCATCCTACATCCGAGTAATTGGTCAGAACTCGCTCTCCCAAAGGATTGAGAAAGTTTGGATTGGGAAGTTAGGTTTTTAACTAAAGTAAATTATAGCAGTGATGTTACAAAGAAACACTTATATTTCAAGGTGCCTTACAGACTTTGGGAGCTTGGATGGGTCTAACTCTCATATTTTGTAAGTGAAAAATCTAGGGCACAGAATTGCTCTAGGCAAGTAAATGGAAGAACTATTTTAGAGTTAAGATCCTTGGCTTACTTACAAAAAGTACTGTGTATGAGTGGGATTAAAGGAGAATAAAATCTTAGAAATCAAAGGCCAGTGTCAGACCAAATACCACAAAGTTCCATTGGATTAGACCCAAACTAAATATGATAAAACTGTGTTTTTCCTTCAGTTCTTGTACTCTGACACTTAGAGGACAATTTATTGTCAGAAGTTTACCAGTTTCTTGCTGGTAATTTGCCACCTGTCCTTTTGCTTCCAAAGACCCTAAGCTAGCTATTCCAGGGAGCTGCTGAGCTCCTGACTCAGCCAGAGCATCTGTCGTGCTGTGTCCCACCCGCAGACACCTGCAGCAGCCTCGTTCTCTGAGGATCAGCCTGGTCAGCTGCCTTTTCAGGTCTTGACTGGATTCCATGAATTCAGCAGGCTTTTCACCAGATCGCTCAGATAAGGAAGACACCTCAAAAAACATAGAGGCACTGGAACATTTTCCCATTGAGTAGGGAAAAAAGAAAAGAAACTTCACACACAAAGAGACTAATAAACCGGGGTTTTACGTGGCCCTTCAGGCCCTGCCCACCTGTGAATGGGCCTCATGCAACTGAGGAAGATTCTGGGTCAGGGCCTCGCCCTGTATGCCCAGCACCTGAAGGAATAAGAATTGGACGGTTTTACAGTGTGTTTCCATCCTCCCAGGGACTGGACATTTTAGACCGAAGCTCAGAGTTGATCCACTCTGGGGAGCTGACCAGACTCACGAAGCAAGGCAGGAGCCAGCAACGGACGTTCTTCCTGTTTGACCACCAGCTGGTATCCTGTAAGAAGGACCTGCTGCGCAGGGACATGCTCTATTACCGGGGCCGCGTGGACATGGACGACATGGAGCTCGTGGATCTGGAGGACGGGCGGGACAAGGACTGGAACCTCAGCGTGAAAAACGCCTTCAAGCTCATCAGCAAAACCACCGACGAGGCTCATCTGCTTTGTGCCAAAAAGCAAGAAGACAAGGCGAGGTGGCTGCAGGCCTGTAGGGACGAAAGGAGAAGGGTGCAGGAGGATCGGGAGATGGGTAAGCAGCCCTGAAGGCCAGCTCTTCCCCCAGCCCTCTCCTGCAGGCTTAAGTCCCACCCTTGGGAAGAGGAAAGGATTGCCAAGTTCTCGATATGTCTAAATTTGCTTACCAGACAGCCTGTGACAGATGGAGCTACTACAGGCCACATTTATTCAGTATTTACTTCGTGCCAGGCGCTCTGCTGTACATTGAGAGAGACTGTCTCATTTCATCCCCAAATGTGGATACTATTGCTATGCCCATTTTACAGACAAGGAAATCAAGGCTTACTGCCCGTCCCCACTCTTACCGTATGGCCAAGTAACATTTAAAACGAGCCTAAGTGTCACTCTGATGACTGTCACCCCAGGCCATGAGAAATATCAGCCGACCCTTGCTGCTTCCCCATCAGCTGTGCCTTTAAAGCACGTTTCGTTTACCTTGCTGCCAGTCAGTCCTGAGCCCACACCTGCCTGCATATCCCCCGTCTCTCTCAGCCCTGGAGCCTCCTGTACTGCAGTAAAGGCCCTGCCTCTTCCTACTCAGGGTCGCTCTTGTCTTCCCAGCTTTTGCTCCCCTCCAAGTATTGACTGGCTTCTGAGACAAAGCGCCGGGCCTGGTGCTTACACTGGGGGCACCCATGGTCTCTGAGCCAGGCTCCAGGGCCTCCCCAGCACATTTGGGTTTTGACCACCACAAACTGTTGAATGGAAGTCGGGATGCCACAGGGCCCCCGGAGCCCCTAAAGATGAGTTGGAATGAAGACTATTCCACCTCGTGAACCCAGACCTCAAAGGTTGTGTGGTGCAGGATGGAGGAGAAGGCCTCCCCTCCCCGTTCCCCACCACTGCCACGAGGAAAGCTAGAATGAAGCCAGGAGGTGTTCGTTGGCCCTCCTGTGGTCTGTGTAACCAGCATTGGCCCAGGCCTGGCCACAGATGCTGCTCTCACCCACAGGCGGTTCCGTGGGATCATGCATTAGAGCAGAAAGGGCTTTACAGATCAGTCAGGCTAACTCCTCATCAGAAGCAGGACTGTCTTCTGAAATACTCTTAACAGGTGAGCACCTCTAACAACATGGAGCTCACTGCTCACAGGTGGCCCCTCCCGCTAGGTGGAAATGTCCTTTATATCGAGAGGAAAGCTGATCCCCATCAACTTCCATAGATTTGTTCAGCTTTCGACTCTCAGGCCTCATTGGAATAAGGCTCGTGACTCCATCAGACTGAGAATTCCACAGGTAGTTGCAGGTGTCAGGTATTCAAATGCAAAATGACAGATCCACAAAATCTGGGCGGTACTTGCCATCTAACATTGTCTAGTGCAGGCCCCGAAATCATTTGTAAGTTGGAGTATTTCAGTTTTCCCTTAGATAGAAGCAAGTATTACGAAGGGTGTTCTAAACTCTGCCCCTTGACAGAGAAAGAAAGGAGGGACCTGATGTCATACCTCTTTGTAGTACAGTGCTTCCTTAAAGCTGGTGCTCTGAAGGAAGACAGGGAGGGAGGGAGGGAGAGAGGGAGGAAGGAAGGCAGGCACTCCTGGAACCATTAAGCCTGTGATCGGGTGTGGGAATAAAATAGGACCAGACCACTGAGGCCCTTGCCTGGCATGTTGTATCAGTCTACTTGCCCGATACATCACCTGGGGGTGGATCCTGGACATTGCGCCATAAGCCAGGCAGGGCACGGAGGCAGGAGTAAGGCCGGAGGCAGGTGGAGGCTTTGGAGCCATGGAAGCCAGCAGCCAGTATGTGGGACCTGAAGACCTCAGGACCCATCAGGGACAGATGTCGTGCATATGGAGGAGCCAAAGCCCAGGGAGCACACTGTGCAAAGGTGGAGGCTGAGCCCTGGCCAGTGACCCCTCGAAACTGAGCGGCAGAGGCAGAGCCCGGGTCCTCTTCCCCCGGGAGGAGCCTCCCCCAGGGCAGCACCCGCTCGGCAGCCTTAGCCTCCCCCACCTCTGTCCTTGGCTCTCTCCTCACACTCTCTGCAGTCAGGGTACAAAATCCAGTTCCCATTACTCAGGTATTACCTGTGTTCAGGGAAGATCAAAACTCACTCAGTTTTCACAGCAGGTAGGTGAGCTGACCCTGACCCTTTGATTTGTCCTCTCCTCCCAGGGCCTCGTCCTTGAGGGTGATAATTAGGGTGACTCTATATGAATTTTTCTCTGGGTTTACACAAGTAGTCTGTGCATCCTTACTGACAGCACCCCATTTCACTCTTTCAAATGTCCTGGTTTGGAGAATAATTCTGGCCATCCCGGTGATAATCCCTGTTCCTTTTCCTTTCCAGATTTTCAGCCTCTAATTCCTCAAGGATTAAGGTTCTTTGCTTCAGGTTATAGTGAATACCTCAGGGGCGATATGGGTCATGGTGCAAGTTTTATTCTAAAATGTTTTCACTTGTTTTGAATACTCATCACCTTTGTTTCTAAATCCAGGAATGGAAATTCCAGAAAATCAAAAGAAACTCGCCATGTTAAATGCTCAGAAGACAGGACATGGGAAGTCAAAAGGTAAGTTCTAGAGAAGCCTTCATCTCTGTAATGTGGATCAGTATTGGAGTTAAAATCAGGCGGGAGGCCCAAAGGTGTTAGCTTATGACCCACTCTAAATGAAGGAGAGAAGTGTGGGTGAAACTCAAAACAATAGAACCAAAATAATGGACCGTTTACAACAGTCTGCATTTGGTTTTGACCATGCTTCGATTTTTGCTTACATTTGCATATCAGCGTATGAAACGTGTTTTAAGTTGGAACCGAAGCATTTCCAGACCCTTCCAGACCTCCGCGTCCTTCCTGCAATCCCTCAGGGCCTCCCCCTTCTGAGGGACGATGGTATCGTCAGGTCAACCAGTTCACCAGTGAGAGGCAGCTTACCCACTCTTGCATCTTTTGGGCACCTAAGGAGGAGATCTCCAACCCAAACTGCTTGTCAGCTGTAGGCTACATTCTAGTTTAAGAAGAAAAGAGATGTAAAAGTGGGCCGGCCAAGTGGCGCGTTGGTTAAGAGCTGGCTTGGGACGCCAGAGGACCCCGGTTCGGATCCCACATATGAGGGCCAGTGTCACTCCCCTCTACAGCTAAGATGCTGAACAACAGCTC